CAAAAAGGTGTTCGAGAAAGACAGTTTTTCCTGACTTCAATTGTCTGAACGAGCAAAGGATCAGGCTAGGTGACAGAAAATCTGACCATAGAAGGCCTGTGACGGATGCAGAGTAGGCTAGTCCGTGGCGCGCAGCCCCAGCCTATTGTTGTTTGTTGCCGCTTGTATGGCGTGGCCACGTGAGCCATTGCCACCCCACCTCAGCCGTCGTCTGACAGGAGCAGCCGTGCGTGTGAACGGGGCCCTTTCTCCCCGCCCCGCCCCGCCCCGCCACCGCGGGGGTGCTAATGGGGCGACACGGCCATGTGGAAAATTCACCTGATACGAACCATGCTGCTGCCACTGTGCAATAAAGCAGCGCCGACACACTAATCACTCCACTGCAAAACAGAACAACAACTACCACAATCAACGACAACCTTTTTCCCACTTTTCTTCCCTTGTCTCCCTGCACGGGGCCCATGGTGGGCCCAGAAGATCGATGCTAGCGGCCAAAACTCTGGACTCGTTTTGAGCTCCAGAGTCGCTCGAACCGCACGTGTGACCCCACCAATGGGGTCCCCTCTCGGAACGCAATCCATTGGTGATGTCACACTTTCGGTTCCGAGTCCGATTGAGCTTCTCTGGAGCTCAAAACGCGTCCGGGATTTTGACCGCCTCCACCAGACTTCTGGCCCACTGTGCGGCGTGGCTGCACTGTCTGGGAATCGCCGGGCCTCAGCGGCCCGGCCGCCCCGTCGCAGCGTCGCGCCGCCTTCAGGATTCTTATGCAGATGTGACCCACTTGACGGCCGGGGCGTCATTAAGCCGATCCCTGAGGGAGGGGGAGGGGTAGCTCGGACGGACTGGTCGGTACCTCCCTCCATCCGAATCCTCCCCTGCAGGAATCCCCTTCATTTCCCCCTCCCCTACATGTTGAGGAATGTCCGGTCCGGCACGGCGCGCTGCTCATGTGAGTGTGCCCCCTTTCCCCCCTCCCCCTGGCCCGGAGCGTGCGCGCGCCGCTCATGATGTATTCCGGCACGGCGATGCTGAAGTGCTTCCACTTGGGCATGACTCAACAAGGCATGACTCCTTGCCCGGCCCATTGATGTGTCCATCAAATGGCCAGCGGGGCCGGAGCGTGGCCAGGGGCGGGGCGGGGCGGGGCGGGGCGGGGCGGGGCGGGGCGGGGGGGGCGGGGCGGGGCGGGGCGGGGCGGGGGCGGGCGGGGCGCGGGCGGCGGGCGGGGCGGGGCGGGGCGGGGCGCGGCGGGGCCGGAGAGAGGCGAGCAGGAATGGAGGTCCAACGGACGCCCTCCCCCAGGCCCCAGGACCGCTAGGGGCTTGCCAGTGGCTTGCCAGGGGCGCACGGCCAGCAGCGCATTGCTGGCATGTTATTGCGCCAAGCCAGCCCCGCGCACAGCAGACTGATTCCGAGAGTCGCCTTCGTCGCTCCGTCTCTCTCGCACCTATACGGGACGCTCCATGAGTGCGAGAGAGACGGCGTCGAAAACGACTCTCGGTCTACAGCCCCGCAACTGGCGGCCGCGGCCCCGACGTTGCCCGGTTCTTGCTCGGCTGGGACACTGGTGGTACCCGGCCGGGCCCCACAATGTTGTAGCGTAGCGACCGCAATGTGAATGTGGGTAGTCTTTGGCTCGGACCGCAATCTGAATGAGGCACCACGCCGCTCTGTGTCGCAAGGGCGTCGCGGTTTGTTCAGCGCCGTTCATTTTCACTTTGCAGTTCAGTCAATCGACAGGTCACCATGCCCACCATGCGCATTTATGGTCGTCTTGACTTTGAATAGGTTGGGTCACGAGAATCGTTTGCACTGTCTGTTATGGTCAGTTCACCCATAGTGCCCATTAAAAACTTTTGCACTAACCAACTGAAAATAATTTTGTCATAACCGTATGTTACGACTTCATTCTAACAGACAAATTTGTCGCTTGATAGTTACAGTTTTGTCACTCGATACTAAATTTGTTAACTCACGAAATAGCAGAGCTCTGCCAGTGTGTCAGAAACATAGCCTATTGATGGCCATTATTTTTGTGTTCGATGGCACGGCTGTTGCACTCATGCCGTGCTAATGAAGGCATGACTGCTGCTTGCCTTCCATTCCATGGCGGGCATCGCGCACGGCTGCACCGACGGGCCATTGTCTGCCTTCGCCGGCAAACAGTGCAGGCCCGGCATCCAGGGCCAGGCAGGGCCTAAACGGAGGGGGTGAACGTCCTTGGTGGGGGATGCATGCAGATGTTGTTGACTGGGCTTCAGCCCAGCGCTGAAATATTTATCACGAGCGAGTAGCTCCCTCGGCCGGGCGCGGCGCGGCGCAGGTCAGACAGCCATAGTCCGTCCCGGCGAGGGTGGAGGCGACGGCGGCGCTGTTGGCTCAGCAAACACACGCCAATGTGCTGCATTCGGCCGTGGCGTGGCGGCCGGGCCGCCGCCACCGAGCCGTGCCGAGCCGCGGCCACGGCGCCCTTTCACGTGTCTTCCACGTGCCTAAAACGGCCCATCCTTCACACGCGGGTTTGTGTGTGTGTGCGTGTGTGAGAGAGGAGAGAGAGAGGCCAACTCAGGCAGGACGCGAGAACTCCACAAAGCCAAACTGCATTATCAAAGTGCACTTCCATTTACGGTCCGTGTGCCTACCCGGCGTGCAGTCGCGCATACAGAGGAGAGAGAGAGAGGATGGACTGGGTGAGAAGGGGGGGGGGGGGGGAAGGGTGGCGCACGGTAGCTGACCACATTATCAGCAACAGAGGACGAGGCGGTCAGAAACAGGGGCTAGGGTTGAACCGTCACGTCCAGGAGTTACACGTACATGCGCGCGCACACACACACGCACAAAAGTGCGCGGCGCGTCCACACAGACACACACACACTCACGCGGAGGCGACAGCGTTACGGCGTAGGCTTTATGCGCTGGGACGCGGCAGGCCGGCCCGGCCGGTTCAAAGGTCGCTCTGTTATCTTTTGTTGCGCGCGGCGGCGCCCCCTCGTGGCCCCTCGCGGCCCCATCGCCATCGCCGCCCCGGCCGGCATCGTGAATTTCAGATTGCGGCGCCATTGCCAATTGGGAAACATGCTAATGCATCTTCCATCCCTCGATATCGCGGCCATGTTATCACTGCCGAGTCCGGTGCGTCGCACACACACACACACACACACACACACACACACACACACACACACACACACACACACACAACCCTCCACGCCGGTGTTTGTTCAAAATTAGGCGGTCATCTGCAACCATGGCGCTCGGGGCCCGGCGCCGCCGCCCGCCACGCGTCCGCGTCCCCGGGGGCTGCGTGTGCGAGGTGGCCGGACCCCGGGGTGCTCTGTCTCCTTCGCACTCACTGGGGACCGGGGACGGGCGTGCGGGAGCGAGCGAGAGGCGTGCACGCGTGCCGGACGCAGTGTACACAGTGTACACACAGACAGACGCGCGGCGCGGCGCCCTCCAGTGTTATGGAACTCCCCCCAGACGGACGCCTCTCGAGGGCCGCGGCTTGCTTCGCCTCGCCTCGCCTCGCCGTCCGGCGCGGCGAGTGGCCGACGCGTCCCGATGTCCGCGTTGACTTGTCGCACCCGCTGAATCTGAAAAAAATCTGAGTCTGAAAAACTTGTCGCACCGCGCCGCCTGGCCGTGTCGCCGGCACCCTGCCGCCGACGCGGAGGGCTGCTGAAAGAGAGCTCCCCCTCCCATAACACCTTTTGCATAAGCTTACTCGAGTCACCCCTCTGTCTTATCTCTTTGTCGCTGGGAAAACAGGAAAAGTTACATCCGCTGCCGCCGCAGACACCGCCGCCGCCGCCGCCAAAATCACTAAATAATATTTTGGGCCCGGAGGGGATTTTGGCGGCGCGGCGTTGGCGACGCGTGTCACGCCATTACGACGCGGCGGACGGACGCCAAGGAAAACATCAAGTTGGCTGCACTGGGGCTTCACATGGCGGGGCTAGACATACATTTCGCATCAGCCTACGTTCCAATAACACAGTTCTCCCGGCGTGCCGGTCTGCGTCCGGGGGATAGGGGTAAACTCTGTCCGACGGTGGGAGGGGACCCAATAATCCCCCTGCAAAAGTCTTCAAAGGATCATAATGTATCCGGCTTACGGGACCCATCTGGGCAGGTCATTCAACTCGAAGCTACCCCGTCCGGGGCCACTGCAAGGCGGGCCGGGGGACCGAAGGGGACCCTCCTGGTTTTTCTCCTCCACCAAACCCTCATAACCGCCCCTCCACCTTGCAACTCTTCTCCGCCTCCTTTCGTAAACTTCTTGCTTTGACCGCAGTGTCGTCCTCGTGGCCCCGCTGCCGTGCCCGCCCCGCTCGGCGGCCCCACTTCTCAAACTCGTATCATTAGTCGTGGCTTGCTCTAGCCGGCCGGCCCGCCGGCCCGTGCAGCGCCCCGCCTGCTGCCCGTGTCACTGCCCAGCCGATGTCCTACAATGCCTTGTTGAATTTGAAGACGACACTCCAAAGTTCGTACTGAGAAATGCCGTGCACTCATAAGACTGAGCTAATTCTCAGTACTTTACGATATAAATCTGTCAGAATTCAGAGACATTTGTTCGCAAAGTAAAGAAACTCATCATAATTTACTGAGAACCTTTCACCGCAGGTTATTTTTTTCGCTACGCAGTCATAATACTTAGCTTTTTGTTTGTATTACGAAGAAAATGCGAAGTAGGATATTGGGAGTGTACAAAATCTTACAATATTAGTCCGAATTTCCACATTATCTCAACAGAGTGGGTACAGCACGATTGTCGATCGCAACCACACAGTGCACTTGTCGCGGCACCTTGCTGAGACAGAATGACGCAGACGCCAGTCAGAATATCCAGACTGCAGGTAGGCAAAAAGTGCTTCCTTTGCCCGGCTGCCCTGGATCCGCCACTGGACGCCGTGAGGGGCACGTGTTTGGCACTGCGCTTACACTCGAAGCATTAATGTCTGCAACGGTGGGGAGGCGCGGACGTTTATCAGGCACCGCGAAGATTGTACCGTTATCTGATCAGCCGGTCCAAGATATCGACCCTTCGTCTGCCGTGTTGCCGCAGTCGCATCTTGCAGCTTTGGCCGAGCGTTGCTCGAGAACTCAGGTGAGCTGGATGAACGGGATGAACTGTGGATGCAGTCTCACCGGCCGGTGTCGACGGGGTGATCTTCTCGCGTGCGTGGTGACGTATGCGTCTTCGTGCCATCCTGAATCCATAACTTTCTGCCCAGGTTGTTCAGGTCTTCTAGTCCGGCGATGGAGTGCCCTGTCTGCATGGAGCTGGACACACCGTCTGCAGCCACTGCCTGGCGTGGCTGCGGACGCGGTGCTGCCCGCAGTGCCGCAGGGTAAGTTGTAGGTGGAACGTTCTCAGACATACAAAGAATTAACTGGAGGAGCAAATGACGAGGCACAGTATATTACGTTGGCCAAAAGAACCCGACCGCTCTGGCTATCGGGGTTTTCTGGTTACAGCGGCTAAACCGTTCAATTAAGAGAGGTAGTAAGCGAGCCTATTGTTCCTTGCACGACAGAAAACCACCATCGGGCGGTCAGATTCTTAAGGCCCTCATAGTTTTGGGTAGGTTTCGGTGCTTAGAAAATTATCCGAAGCTTTTTTTTTTAGCAGAAACGTCTTATTTCCTGGACTATCAGTGCTTCTTCTATCACTCTCATCTTTTGTAGACATTGTTTTTTAGTTCGCCATTGAAGGTTTGGTTTATAAGCTACGTAAAAATTTTAGCAAGTTATTGACTAAACTGTTTTTAAGACTCATGAACTCTTTTATAACCTTATCAATGCACCCTACTATCAATACGTCACTGACCAAAATAATCAGCACCAGTCTGGGGGTTTTGACTTCGAGTCTGTGCTTTGCAGGACATTACGGACCCGATCACATCTTTGCCCGACAACTTCGCCGTACTCGGCCTTGTCGACGCAAAGCAGCGACCCAAGTCACCACGGCCTAGTACCTCTGCGGCTCCATCTCTGAAGTGAGTCAGTCGGATGTCCGCCACCACACTATATCTACCACACTATGCGGCCTGCTTTGTAGTGTGCCCTGTGAAAACACGCACGCGGGTGCCTGCGGAATCTCAGTGAACAGTCAAATACCTTCGTTGGTCGAGTTGCTCAAAACACTTACCGCCCTACCCCCACACTGTCCCGTCACAGAAAGCCCTATAAAAAATTGACAGCTCAAGAATGGCGTGAACGTTGGAATGGTAGGGAGTCGAGACAGGTAAAATGACACTCTCTTCAGGGCCCCATTTTAATAAATTATTGTTTAAAGCACATGTCAGGCCAAAAGTAAGTGGTAAACAGGGCCAGCCGCTAAGGATTTACTCTGTCACTGAACTATCAGTTATATGTCTTCAGGATGTGGTGCCACGACTGCGGTAAGACCACCGCGGACGTGGAGGCATGCGTGGACCGCGGCCACGCCCTCTGCTCACTTGGCAAGCTGCGAAAAACGCGCTTGGAGCAAGCGGCCCCATTAATGCTGCAGCTGGAGGACATGGTCAAAGCAGAGCTGAAGATTATGGGGAGGCTCGAGGGCGCCAAGAACACCGTTGAGGAGCTGCAACGTGAGTGTCGAACCAGGCTGCGGCAGGTAAGGGACGCGCAGAAGAAACTGCGGGTGGCGATGGACGACGACAGCGGCGACCTGGAGACCAGCGACCTGGAGGTCCACATGCCACAGGGCTTGGACAAGCTGCAGGACGCCGTCAGCCTGCTGGAGGGTCTGGAAGGCAAATGCGGGCTTTGGCACCGGGACGGCTCTCAGTGGAAGGGTGACGTGCGCGGCAACCGGAGTCTACTCGACGCGCTCGTGCTGCAACTGCACCACAACGGCTGCATTACCAAGGTACGCGCAGCGACTAGACTTAACAACGGGTTGTTTGCGTCATGACGTCCAAAAATAAGTCTGTAGCATGCAACCTTGCGGTAACAACGTATTGAGAGTTTCTCAACACATCCCCATTTCCTCGACGAATCCGACTTTCTGCAGGAAAGACCATCGCGGGAGCAGCAGCAGCTGCAGCAACGCGTACAGCAGCAGCATTGGCAACAACTGCGGCGTGGCAACACAGGCCCACCGTCTATTGGGGTTCAAGGGCAATGGTCAGCGACACTCGGCCGGGAGTTGATTCCCTGTTACGATGAGGGGGGTATCTCCAACTATCTACCAATCCCACTTCCCTACTATATTCACCAATAAATCTGACCCCCATTTAAAACGGATTATTTGACAATTTATTTAATTTTTGGTTCCTCCATTTAAAACTAAATAATATGAATGAAAAATGCAAAATAAATGAGCTGAGCTCACTACTTCCCGTATAAGTTGCCCTAAATAATTTTGTTTTCGGACGACAATGAACAAAACTTGATTGCCATCGCTCTAAATATTCAGACTTGCAAGTCTGAATTCAAATTTCTGACATCAAGTCACACTTTTCAGACAATTGGTCTTAATATTCGTACCATTTTATGAATTTGCGATTCAGACCACAAAGTAAGACGAAATCAGTCTGAATTTTAGTAATTTTTTTTAACAGTGTAGCGACACATTTACAGTTATTCTTGAGAAGTATAGAGTCTCATAATGAGACTCCCATTCCAAGGGGCGCTTTTTTTGTGAGTGGTTGTCCCACAGCGTCGCAATGAGAGGGTGCTCGGCCTCCACCTTTGCCACTGATAGTGCGACCCACAGCACCGTGACCACACAGACTGGACAGCAGGGTGGCACACTGGTGGCACTGGCAGACAAGGGGCCGCTTGGTCCTAGGGCGACAAGGCGGAGCTAGAGCGGCTGGCCGGCCTGACGAAGTAGGGTTGAAGCCGCGGGACAACAGATGTACCCCTCCCCTTCCCTCCATTTCCCCTCTCCTTCCCCTCCCCTTCGAGCTACCGGTACGGCATGTGGCGTGACAATCTTCCGCAGAATATTACGCTAATTCTGTCGTCCAGCCTGTCCCCTCGGACAGCGCCCGGTCCGGCCACCCACCGCCCCTCTCTCTCTTACTTGGATGCCTGCCGCTGGCAAATTTGAATCTCCCGCCGCCGCGTCGTTCCAATTCCATCCGGTTGGCATTCAATCTGCTTCATGCTTCGCAGGGTGTACCGGGCTCCTGGGCACCCTGGTGATCGCTGTTCGAATCCCCGCCGCTGCGGAGACTCTTATTTTTCTGTCTGTTGTGAAACGTGATTTCCGGGAACTTCCTTGACTTCTAGCGCCGTGCTTGTTACGAAGCGAAAGCCCCGGATAAAGTAAAAAGAGAGAAAAAACTCGGAAAGAAACACAAATTAAAAAGGAGCAGAAAAAGTCGTGATAATCTTGCAGCTATCAACCCCTTTTTGCTCCAGGCAGTGCCTGCCGCGCCAGAGGGGACAAAGAAACGCGTTGATCGAGCTTTGAAATGCCTCTTTCTCGCCGCAAGGGTTGTGCGGAACGGATACACTGCAAAACGTTAAAATGTTTCTCTGAAGTCAAAAGCAATACAGGGGTAAGTTGAGGAAGAAAAGTACAGAATAAGAAAAGTACACTCTTCTGGAGCTGGATTTTCCAACGTTGAGCCATCTTTCGACCGGTCAAAGTGTAAAATTCTTGTGAAATTATAAATTTTTGAGAATTGCTGTCGATTGTAGGCCAAAGGGGGTTATTCTTTCAGCGTCCTGTACTTATTTATCTTCCCCGGATTCTAACCCCTACTGTTTTTTTTTTCAAATACCAGAATACAATTGGTTTATAGCTTTTACAGTTTTACCATGTACTATTCAATAAATGTATTTGAACCAATTAGCTGTTTAGAGCGTTTTTCACTTATTGGTATGAGGTACGGATATAGAAAGGAACCACTCCCGTCCATGTCTCCTAGAAGCGTCGTCTGCTTTTCTGCCTGACAACAAATATCGACCGCCGCTGCAGCTGCGTTGCAATGTCTGTGCGTCCGTCCGTCTGTTGGTTCACCTCACAGCCCGCCCATCCCCTCCCTCTGCCAAGCCGAGGCGCGCCTGGAACAAAAGTTAGGTAAAGAAACTTCCAGCACAACAGATTCAAGTAGCAGCAGGCTGGCAGGCCTATCCGTGTTGTGCGTCGCAACTTCGCCGGATGACAGCCGAGGACCTGCGCGGCGCTGCGGTCAAAACACCGGAAGTGGCAAACCGGAAACACTGCACAGCGGCGGCGGGGAGGCGGGGGCATCCGATAAAAGAAACGCGGCACTTGAGAGCGCTTTCGCTCGCTTTCTCCCGCGCTTTCCTCCCAGCGCTCTCTCTTTTTACAGTGTCGCGTCGTCAGCGCGATTTGGCGCGCGAAACTGCTGCCGCTGTTCGGCCATCGCCAACTTTCCGATAATAAGTGTCGTCTAATTCGGCCGGTAGAGCGCTCTGCAGGCTGCAGCAGTGTACAGAGCGCAGCTGCGACTGCTGCCGGCCCGGGCCGCTTATGTCGGGTAATGGTGCTCGAGGCGGGGCGGGGCGGGGCGGGGTTGGACCGGTCGCATGCAGTCTTACGAGCTTCTTATGCGAACTCGCCCACTTGCTATCAATTTAGCGCCACAGCGGCTCGCGCGCCTGCTACCCCTCCCGCTACCCCTCCCGCTACCCCTGCCAACCCCCGGGGCTGCTCCACACGCGTCCTCGGCTCCGCGCGGCTCCGCGACCCGAAATCGGCCATGGCTGCAGTCACACTGCTGCGCCGCTCCTCCCCGCGGCCGGCCCCGCGCCCACCGATTCACCCCTAATCCTTCTTCATCCTTGATGATGTGGTTTATGACGGGGTGTCAACAGGAGTGACGCCCTGGCGGCCCTGGCGGCCCGCGCCGCCCCGCCGGGGCTGGCAGCCACCCCTTTTACTTTCCCTCGCCGTAATGGGCCGCCCAGCCGCGGCCTGGCTGCCTGCCTGCCTGGCTGCCTGGCTGCCTGCCTGCCTGGCTGCCGGCCGCTGGAAACAAATGCGGGACACGGAATGTGTTTAAAGGGGTAGAGGGAGAGGGTTGGCGGGGGTGGAGTGTCAACGCGGCCCGCTTATGCCGCCACGTGTGTTGGCCCTCGCGAAACGGCGGCGCCCAGCTCTCGCGAATAAAAAATGAAACGAAAAAAAAAAGACGTACGCTGCCCTCCGCGGGTGGTATTGAACCCGGGTCTTTGCCCGCGCCGCCAAGAAGTCGAAATAAAAAAAGAGGCCTGAATCGGGCTGTTGTTGTTTCTTGTTGTTGTTGTTGTTGTTGTTGTTGTCGCAGAGTGGCGCGTGTGCCTGCTTAGCATCGGGACCGCATCGCTCCGCCGTTAGTTGCAGAAACTTCCTTCATTTATTTCGCCGCTCCGTCACTTATCAGCTCGGGGGCGTGTCGCGCTGTCTCTGCGTCTCGTCCTCCCTCCGCGCCCCGTCTTGGTTGACGCCGTGCGCGCCACCGACTGCACTCTAAAAGTCGTACAGTGAGGATTTGCCATGGTGAAACATCTATACATTATGGTGATGCAGCTGGCATTCGAACCTTTCAATGAATGTTCATTGCACCAAAGATATTTTGTCGAATTTCTTTTGTGGGGAAAATATCCGCCATAATGTGTTGGCGAGCTGGTTTCTTGGTGATTCTAGTCACTTCTCTGGCCTTTGAACATTCGCGCGAATTTTCAAAGGGACCGAAATCGAGGAATTAAAATTTAGTGGTTCAACGAAATTTTGTCCGCGCGGTGTGGGCATTTGCATCGGGCGTGTGTGAGACATGTGGTGGTGGTGGCCGCGGGCGATGCCCCCCCCCCTCTTCCCCCCTCCCCTCCCACCACGCCCCTCCTCAATGTTCTCTCGGTAATTGCAGGCCAATCCACATCGCCCTCCGATATTTACATTCGCGTACAAAAAAAGGCCCGGTGTGTGTCTGTGGAAGGGGGACGGCTCGGCGGGGCGCCGGGGCGTTGAGGTCGCCGCCGAATGAATCCGGACCGGTGAATGTGAATATGAGCCGCAGAGCTCAACCAGCGGGGACGACAGTCGTTATTTTTACATTTTCGTATTCGTATTGGTGGAGGGCGCGTCTGCAGCCCACAAAAAGTTAAAAGAATAAAATGAGCATGTGCACCCGATGCAAGTGCAATACGAATTCATGCGAGCCATTGTGTAAGTTGATGCCGACCAAGAGTGACAAATCAAACCTTGATTTCGAGCTGTTTGTCCCCTTAATTTTAAGGAAAAGGCAAATGAACAAAACCCAACCAAAACAAAAACTGTCAATAATTCAGGGGAACTCGCCGTAGTGCTTGACTGTCCTAGGCGCAGGGGAGTGACCACACTGGCATGGCCGACGACGGTCAACTGACCGCTTGCTCGAGCCTAGCCGACCCGCTGGCGACCGCTGGCCCGGCCCTACCGGGAAAAATGAACCGGCCCCACTTCCGGCAACACAAATTCGCACCGCCCCCTCCCTTAGCCGCAAACCGCCCCTAACTCAGCGGCCCGGCGCCCCTCCGCCCCTCGCAGCCCCGCGCACCTGCAGCCCGGCCAGCCTTAGGCCAGCCGACCCCAATTCCCACCTCAGCGCGGCCCGGCGCGGGCACGGCGTGGGCCCAGCCCACTGGAAAAAAATAATGAGTTGCGCGTGCAAATTAATTCCAGCGACCGCCTGACCGCCTCCCTGGGGCAGGCTGGGGCAAGGAGCCGGCCCGCGGCGGGGCGGCGGCACTCCGGGGCACGCGGGGGGCTGTCCGGGGGGCTGTCCCAGCGGAAGGCCGGCCATTTGAATTTTGGCGCGCTTCCGGCCAATAGGCGCGCAGCACCACGGCCCGGCAATACCTGCCAGCATGCCGCCAGCAGCACGACCATTACGTCGGCCGCGGGCAGCCGCAGGCATCCTGGAGCACGCCGAGCACCGCGTCGGCCAGCACGGCAGCCTGGAGCACCTGCTACTGCAGTTGGGTGGAATCGCTTGGCGATTATGGTGATGAAGATTAACCTTGTATTTTTGGTCCGGATCATCCCCCGGCAGCCTCCGACTACCCTTCCCCATTGTTTTGACAGGCTAACGAACCGAGCCGGCCGCCCCCGCCCGCCGCCCCGCCCCGCTCCGCCGCGGTGCACTGTCCACCCACCCACTGCCTCGGCCTCGCCGCTGGTGGGACTTCTCCCAGACGACGGGGACCTCGGGCTGCCTTGGGCAGCAGAGCGATTCGGGACGATTCTCTGTCTCTCTCGCACCCCTGCGGGACGCCCCGTGAGTGCGAGAGAGACAGAGAGAGGCCGGGCGCGCATTAGGGCGCGCGTTCTCACCCTTCCCTTCCGTCCTTCAAGGTAATGGTCCTGATGGCCCCCAGTATGAAGCCTGAGATATTCATAACCTCGGGCCCGGGCCCAGGACTGTGCTGCCGCCGCTGCCGCTACCTGGCGGCTCTGGAACCGCTCTGTCCCTCTCGCACTCGCGGGGCGCTCCGCAGGCGTGCAAGAGAGACGGGGCAACGAAGCCCCTTTCGGAGTGTGCCTGCTGGCGGCCATGGCCGCCCGGTCCACGGAGAGCGGCCCCTCGACAAGGCTAAGCAACCCGCAGCAGACTGATTCCGAGAGTCGTTTCCGTGCCTCTCTCCCTCTCCCACTCGTGCGGCGTCCCGCACACGGTTGCGAGAGAGACAGAGCGACGGAAAGCACTCTCAGTGTGCTGCCCACTGCTTGCTTGCGGCTGGCTGGCGGCCCCACCTGTCACCAGTAACGCGGTGAAAAACGGTCCGCTTACTTTTATTCCAGTGGCGCAGTAGTACCGCTTTTGTCCTCCGCGTTTCGCGAGCCTCCAGCGCTGCGCTTTATGGGTCACTTTGCAAGCCGAATGGCGAGTGAAACCCCGGCCGGGCCGGGACCTGGGCCGAGGCTAGGCGCGGCACAGTGGGCCAGAAGACCGGTGGAGGCGTCCAAAACTAAAGAGGCGTTTTGAACTCCAGAGTCGCCAAACAGGACTCAAACCGAACGTGTGACCCCATCAATGGACTCCTGTCCGCACGAAGAATCCATCGGTGGGGTCACACGTTCGGTTCGAGTCCCATTTAGCGACTCTGGAGCTCAAAACGCGGCCGGCATTTCGACCGCCTCCACCGGTCTTCTGGCCCACTGTGCGCGGCGGGGCGGCCCGTGTCTATAGCTCACGGCCGCTAGGCGGGCCTAGGCGGGCCGCCGGCCAAATCTCAGTCATGAGTTATGTTCATGACAGGACGTTCGGACCGGCGACTTCGCGACCCCTGGAGTGTAGCGGCGGCGGGGCGGGCCTTGCTGGGCTCGCGCTGGGCCATGGACGCGTGCCGCCGCCTGCTACCACCACTACCACTGCTACCACTACCACCACCGCAACTACCACCACCATCACCGCTAACGCTGCAACCCCCTGACCGCGCCACTGCCCCGGACGCGGTCGCGCCCAGGGCCGTCGCCTCGGACGCCTCGGCTGGCATTTCCATAGCTAATTACAACGGCACAGCGCCGGTGGCGGCCACAGAGAGAGAGAGGGAGAGAGAGGTGGGGGAGACGGGCCACCAAGAGCAGGTCGTCGTCGCCGCCTTGGCCGGCAGGGTCGGCGACAATAATTGTTGCAAATACGGTCGTCTGGCGAGAAAAGGCCGGCCGCTCTATTTGGTTTCGAAATTAGACCCCTCTAACGAAGGAAGGCGAGGACGGCGACGACGGGTCGGGCCGCTGCCGCGCTGCCCCTTGCTTCACCCGGCGTCCGCTGCGAGCGCTGCGAGTGCTGTCCGCAGCGCAGAATAATTGATGGCGGGATTGTTGCAAATTGGACGCTCGTCGGGCGTCCCCGATGATCGCGG